AGTTCCTATCTGTACCAGTGTACATCCCCTGGTCTAGCCAGATTTGTAAGGTAGAATTGGGATCATGGTAGTGGGGGGAGGAAGCATTTAAGAACGAGAGGAAAGTTATGTTTCATCGTTGCCACCCTCTACCTTGACTGGCTTGTTTCCTCCCCAAAATCCTTCTGTAAGGGGGTATCTAGTTGCCTGCAGATGGGCTTTGGGTCTCCACTCTGCACTCACCCTCATTTACAATGATATAATTTTTCGTCCTTTGATACCTGATACCTTCGACACATTGTGATCACACAGGCTAGTGTGCTTTTTCCATGTGGGCTTTGTTGCTTCTGTGCTAGATGGCCGCTTGTTTTTCTTCAAGCCCTTAAGACTCCAGACAGTATATCTTTTGATAGCCAGGCACCATCAGCTTTCTTCACCACATTTGCTTATGCACACATTTGTCTTCAGTGATTGTGTCGAGAAGGTATGCATCATGGAATGCTAATTTAATGGAACAAAATGTTCTTGCATTGAGTAAGTACTTGAGTGGAGGTCCAATGTCCATCTGCTGCCTTAATACTAAACTTATAAATATATGCACGTAGATCTATTTCCCCACCATCCTATATAAATATATTTACATATGTACATGCCTGTATCTAGACCTCTATAAATACCCTTTGCTTCCTAGTTCTTTCCTCTATTTCATTTTACTTTTCTCTTGTTCCACTATCATGCTCAGCCTTCATTTGGGTTTCAGTAATTTCTCTCTGTTACATTGCCCTTGCCGTATCCCTTACACCCTCGTTGCCACTAATTTTGGATCACTTGTTGCTCCCTTGTCCCTTGGTTGGTCCACACCACCTCCTTTCCCCAACCTCCCTTTCTCTGGTGTCCACCCAGAACCATCGGTTCTGTTGTTTTCTCCTCCAGATTATTCATCCAGCCTATCTTATCTAGATAGATATGCAGAGATAATAATATGCACCAAAGAACAAGGCATAGCAAGACAAAGCGACAAAAGAGAACACAATGATGACAACAAAAAAAGAAAACCAATGACCCAGAAAAGACTAAATTAATTTAAAAAATTAAAAATAGATCAAGGTCTGATTTTTGGACCCCTAGTTGTGTCCTCCAGTCAAGTCCGATGGAGTGCCATGCTCTGGCCCCAAAGTTTATCCTTTGCATTCCCTCAGGAGCTCCCTGCTCTGCTCCCCCTGTTGCTCTGTGGCAGGCCTTTAGTGTTTGGCCTTGGTGTCCCAGGGTCCAACACTGAGTCTCAAGTTTTGTCCCCCGTAGGGCCATGGGTCAGGAAGTGACGTCGTGTCTCATAGTGAGCTCAGCCATATGGTCCACTCTGTGCATTGGTTGTTCTGAGCTGGGTATCATCCTCCAAGCCTGGTGGGCCAGGACGTGCTCCACTCTCTCTTCCTCCCTCTTCATTTGCTCCCTTGTGCTCTGATCAGACATATCCCTCTCCCCGAGCTGCAGCTTCAGTGCCCTTCTCTAAAGTAAATTCTTCTGGGGTTAGGGGCCATTGTCCACGTAGCTGGTATGGGGACTGAGCCCTCAGGCCCCTCCACTGGCTCCCCTATTTATGCTGTCACTCTGCATTCACATCCTGGAACACTGGATTAAGTCTTGTCCCTCTTTCCCTGTGGAGACACAAACTATACCCTTCCCTTGGGTGAGTCAATGCTTTATTCCGTGGCCACACATCTCCCTTTTTTTCCTTTCCTTCCCCCCAACCCTCCTTTTAAATTGGCTACCATATGTACCCCTGGATTTGGTCTGGTCCCTGCCATACTACCTGGACCTCACCTCTGGAGTGTTTGTATACAGTAGCTTTTTCTCTGTGCCCCTTCTGCATTTTTCTTTTCTTTTCTATTCTATTCTTTTTTCTTTTTTTTTTAATAAACTTACCTCGGCGGACTCATGTTGTACTAGTCCTTTTGTGTTTGGCTTACTTCACTTAGCATAATTTCCTCCAGTTCTTCCCAGACGGCAATATGTTTTATGGGTTCATCACTGCTTTTTAGCGATGCATAGTACTCCATTGTATGTATGTACCACAGTTTTTTAATCCATTGGCCTGTTGATGGAAATTTGGGTTGTTTCCAATTCCTTGCAATTGTGAACTGTGCTGCAAGGAACATTGGAGCACAGATGTCTGGCCATGGTTTGTTTCTTGCCTCTTCTGGGTTTATGCCCAGTAGGAAGATTGTTGGGTCGAATGGTAGCTCAATTTCCATCTGTTTTAGAAATCGCCAAATCAATTTCCATAGTTGCTATACATTCCTACAGATCCACCAGCAGTGGATGACAGTTCCATCTCACCACAACCCCTCCAACACTTGTTGCTTTTTGATTTTTTGATTAGGGCTATCTTTGAGGGTATTAGGTGGTATCTCATAGTTGTTTTACTTTCCATTTCTCTTATGGCTAATGATTGGAAACATTTTCTCATATGTTTATTGACCATTCGGATTTCAGACTCTGTGAAATTTCTGTTCAGGTCCTTTGCCCACCTCCTCAGTGGGCAGTTAGTTTTTCTCTTACTGTAAGCTTGCAAAGTATTGTAGATTTTAGCAATAAGGCCTTTGTCTGATGTGTCCTTGCTAAAGATGTTTTCCCATTCGGGCGCTCTTATTACTCTCTTGGTAAATTCTTTTGGTGCAAACAGGTGATTTATCTTCAGTATATGCCACTTGTCTATTTGTGACTTCTCTGTATTTGTGTTCTTCCCTATTTCTGATAGCCTATGTATTCCCTGTGCCAAAGTTCTCAGGTTTGTCCCAATTCCCTCATTAATGGCCCTAATTTTGGGAGGTTTTAACTCAAGGTCTGTGATCCACCTTGAGTTTATTCTTGTGCATGGTGTGAGATAAGTGTCTTGCTTCATTTTTCTGCAGGTAGATATCCATTTTTTCCAGGACCACTTATTAAAGAGTGCATCTGCTTCCTATTTGATATGTTTTGGGCCCTTATCAGAGATCATTTGCCTGTATGCTAATGTTTTTATTTCTGGGCCTTCAGCTCTTTTCCATTGGTCTGAATACCTGTTGTTACACCAGTACCAGTTTTGACTACTGTGGCCGTATAGTATGTGCTAAAGTCAGATAGAACAAGCCCTCCCATTTTGTCCTTTTTCTTGAGGAATTCTCTGCTAATTCTGGGCTTCTTCCCTCTCAATATGACAACTTACACACTTTGAACATATTGTCAGGAGAGACCAGTTTCTGGAGAAACACATCAGCTTGGTAAAGTGGAGGGGCAGCAAAAAAGGAGGAAGCCCTTCAAGCAGATGTATTGACATTGTGGCTGCAACAGTGGGCTCATGCATGGACACTATCATAAGAATGATGCAGGACCATGCAGTGTTTCATTTTGTTGTTCATAGGGTCCCCGTGAGTCAGAACTGACATGATGGCACATAACAACTAACATGAATAAAATAATAATACATAGTAGTAAATGTGGTGCGTATATGTTTTATGAGGACTAACACATAAAAATGAGTATGTATGAAGCACAAAAGGCATATTTAGAAATACTGAATGAAAAATTGAGATATAATCTGTCCATACATAAAGATTTAAAGGGGCAAAGTTTAAAAGATACAGGACATAGACTAGATGCATGAAAATCTCTGCAGATCATTTGCACATTTTTGTCTGTTATTCTATTCATTTTTGCAGGTCATAGCAGAATGTGCATATATTTGAAAAAAACTTGGCCTCAATGCAATACAAACTTTTTAGATTTTATTCAAACTGGAAGTACCCAATTCATGTATAGTTATTTTTACTACATGAATTATGAAGTAATATTTGAAATGTGTCCAAGTTATTACTGCAAAAATTTGGGAAATATTTTTAAATATTATGATGGGATGTATAATAGTCTTCAAAATTAATATAATTTATGATGGGTTGTATCAATATTCAAATTTAATTAATATAATTTAAGCATGACACCTGATCATTCTAGTTTTGTAAAACAATAATGAATTTAGTCATGAATGTTCTGTGAAGGATTTGGAAGTCAATCTGAAAGTCCCATGGACTTTGAGAATAATTTGCAAAATTGTTCTCAGCTAGTAAAAGAAATAGCGTCTGGGGTCTTAAAGGCTCATAGTTAAACAAGCGGCTATCTAGCAGGGAAGCAATAAAATCTACATGGAAGAAGCACATCAGCCTGTGTGATCATGAGTTGTCAATGGGAATAGGTATCATAAATTCAAAATCAAGCAATCAAATCGATGTGAACAAGCATAGACAAATTGGAACCCCAAACCCACCTGTATGCCAATTGGACAGTCCTTCACAGAAGGGCCAGACAGGAGGGAAGATATATCCAGGGTGCAGTAGAGCACTGAGGAAACACATAACTATCCTCTGGTTCTTTAATATTCCCTACCCTACTTATATGGTCCCAGTTTTACCTCTTTAATATTTTAGACCTTTATATTCATTTATATAATGAAGATCAGCTAATGCATGAAATCCAAGATGGAAAAACCCATCAGAAATAGTAATGAAGCAATGAAACCCTGGGGATATGGGAAGATAGTGGGGAGTGGAGGGGAAGGGGAGAAGGGGAAACCAATAGCAAAGTATAATCCCACTCGAGGGGAACAGATAGCAGAATTGTAGGTGAATGGATATGTGAATGGTGTAAGATATGGCAAAATAATAATGATTCATATTAATTATCAAACTATTACTTAATAAATTATGAAACAATTAAATAATTATAAATAAAATGATTATAATTATTATTTATAATATAAAAATAAGGGTTCCTGGGGGTCAGGGTGGGGGAGGGAGGGGATAAAGGTGATCTGATATCAAAGAGTTCAAGAAGAAGAAAATATTTTGAAAATAATGGTGGCAGTAATTGTACAATTATGCTTGATGTAATTGAATTATGGATTGTTACAGTAACTCTAAGAGCTCCCAATAAAATGGGTTTTTTTTATTGTTTTTTTTCTCACATTGATTGCCATGTTTTCACAGCCACAGCTTGTGATGGAAGATTTCTGTTAACTGGATCATCTGGGTCCTTCCAGGCTGCGCATTATCCAGTGTCTTCTAAATCCAATATTATTTGCCGTTGGATTATACGGTAATGTGTCATCATCTATATTCTGTTCTGAAGTTATAAGCTATTTCTCTGATGTAAGATACCATTTGATTGTTCAATTTTATTTGGTTTCCTATTGAGATTTTTTTATTAACAAGTTCCACCCACTGTCAAGATAACTAAGACTTTTTTTCTTATTTTTAATATTTCCTTCTGAATCATATTTCAACCTATGAACAGCACTACATAATAAGTGGATTCACATCATCATTGGATTCTGTAACAAGTTTTTTTCACCTTTCTGTGATTGGCATAAGTCAAACAACAACAACGTGAATAGCACACATGTACAGATTTGCCCCTCAAGAAATAGAATTTCTGCAACTTGGCTACAGGAAAATTGATCTTTTATTATTCAGCATTTGTCTGACTGTCTCCTAAGATGCGATTGATTCCCAGCAGATTAAGGGCTGGAGACACTATGTAAATCATTTCGCTATGTGTGGAATGATACTTGTATCAGTTACCACCAATTTCAGCTCTTAGTTCTTAATTCAGTGAACCAACCTAATCATTATAAAACAATAACAATCAGGCTGCTCATATCTGATTTATTGCAATGTTCACATTTGTACTTTTGAAATAGGAAGAATTCAAATTCTCCCACTGTTTCTAGAGGAAAAGTTAATTTCTAGTAAAAAAGAAATAATGAAATAAATGAATTTCACATTTTTAAAAGTGAAGTTTACAGGGTCTTAAATATGTTAACATACAATGTTAACCTCTGAAGTAAATTTCCTACTCCATCACTATTTTCCCCTTGAAGACCATGCAGACCTCTTGCAGTGCAAGAAGTCTGTGGAATTCTTTTTGAGAAGTTGCCTTCTACTTAGATAATTTCTCCTAGCAGCTGAATCTGGATGGGATATGGTTTCCTGGTTTCTATGACAGTTTTAATCACTGTGAGGACTCATTAGAAAACTCAAGGAATTGTTATGAAAGCTGATTAAAACAAACAAACAAAAAACACGTCAGCACAATCTCAGGTTCTGGTCAGACAAATACAGGACATGGTAAACCCACGAAGCCTCATAAAGGTGGGCTTCCACACTGGTACAGAGGTAATTTTACAAAAGTGAAGAAATATAAAACTTCATCTCAAATTAACTGTGAGCTTCCTGATAAAAGTGTAGCTTTATTAAACATAAAATAATTGAATTTTGGATAGATCAAAAAAAAATTGCTGTTTCAGAGATGTATTATTTCACTTCATCTGATGAAAAAGACAGTGATTTTATAACAGTCCTATAAACTTGGGAGATGAGATAGTTTTAAAATATTTACAATGCAGTACATAGATTTAGCTTAGCCTTTTCCAGATATGAAATTATTAACATTTCATTTAACATAATTATAATGATTTTTAAAAAGTGCATTGGAGATCATGTGATTTTCAAATGCCATCTTCCTCAGGTAAAGATGCGTGACCAGAAATGACTTCTCGTTGTAAAAAAATTTCTACATTAATAATGTAGAATCCAACAAATCTAACTACAGGGACAAGGCCATTATTAAATATCTTAATAATGTTTAGTTTTCTATTAAGTGCTCAATAAAAGTGAGCTATAAAACATTAGTTGTCAATACAACAATGCAAGATGAATAAAGTAAATTGAATAAAACTGGTATCTCTTTCCAAAATTCTGAAGAGAACTATGATTATTAATAAAAAAAGCATCAGGTATTGTATTATCCAATTAAACTTATCTTCTTAAATGTCTGGTTTTGTTATGGCTGTTTTTACAATTTAGTTTTTTTATCAGAATGAAGTACAAAACAGTATGTACTTGTTATTCTCCTCGACCTTTAATTATCTACACTGAGAAAGTAAAGATCTAAACTGAAAAGGCTTCCAGGGAGCTGCTTCGACATCCTTTAATTTCACAGCTTGAACACGATAGTCTACAAAGAAATCCCATGGTCGTCTTGCCTAGAGACACCAAAACGTTAATTAAGAGTGGAAATTCTGAATGCTGCTTTACTTCTTCTACCTCTGTTTTCTTCGCTTTTGACTTGTGCCCTCCAGGTGTCATTAAGAGGCTCTCTCCATCTGCCCTAGAACTGATCCTAATAGAAGCTCGCCTGTATAACAGCCAACAGCAGGAGCTGAGAAGTTCCAGCAGAAACTTTGCTCCCTTTCATTCATCTTTTCACCCCTGAAAATTCTCTTTTTATTTTTATGAACAAAGGTGAAAAGTGAAACGAATGCTGTAGATGCAGAATCCATCCCAAGCTGTGATAGTGTTGTAGCCAAGCTCCTCCCCAGAACTATACTGTGTATAGTATACATTACTTCTACTTTATGTAGCGTTTGTATTTATCCTATCAGTCCAGCTTTAATGAAATGCCAGTGTTACTTTAGATTTCAGTGCTTCTTTGCTTTGATTTGGCAGGTTATTTGGGGGCTCTTGGAACATTGCAAAAAATGTTTCCATAGAAATTAATGGTCGTTACTTCTCTTTATGCCATTTCACTCTATTAAAGGTTTCATAGAATGCTCTATTTTGGATATTGGGGTGAAACTGTGAATGTAGCATCCCTTGCATCTACCCATCTCACATCAGTATCTATCAAATCCTAGAGTACATCCCAATCACTCACAGAGATTTCAAAAATAGAAATCTCAGAATTCACTCCCAAATTGCTGGGTCTAAATTTCACGGCTGATACCAATTTGACACTTTTTGTTTTGTTTTTAAAACAATACCCACCCCTATCAAGTTGAACTTTACTTTCCTGATAGTGCATAATGGTAGGATCCAGAGGCGTAGATTTCTGCTTCAACGTTTTCCTGTCTTTTCTTTCTAGTAGCCCTCATTTCAATATCACCATCTCCACTCCTTGGCTAAAATCTAGCTAAATTCATTTTATTGATTAGGACTATAATCCCATTCGACCAAACCTGCTGTTTTGCCATGAATAGGTATTCCAAGATATCCACTTGGAAAATAGGTAGACTTTCCAAAAATTAATTAACATTGTACTAGATGCCTCCAGATTCCTAATAGGCCAGACCACTTTGGATTAATTTTGTAAAAATCAAGCTTCTCAGTGTTGGTCAGTGGGCCTTCATTACCCAATGTCCTATTACCCAGAGCCACCTTTTGAAGACAGATCAGTTATTAAGGTTTCCTACCTGGATTTGAAATGAGATCTGTACCTACTGTATTCTTTTTCACCTTTCCTCTGGGTCTATCTGCAGACAACCCATCCCAGCTTACATCCAACCAGTTAAGATGCATAACCTAGCTCTACCTCACCTCCTTAATTTCTTTTTTATCTGCCATGCTGACAACTTTACTGGGACCCAGTATTTCCAAAGTATTCTGAGGTCTCCTCTTTTCTGTGTGGATTTACAGGGAATGTGAAACTGAAAAATATAGGTTGGATTAGGTATTTCCTTTTTCCCCTAAATCTATTATTGGAGAATGAAATCTCATATTTAAATATTAATGAAAGTTGTCTAACATTCCTTCCCATTCTTTTATACCAGAATCCATTTATAGGCAAATTATTTTCCCAGTAACCAAGTATGTACTAGTTTCTAAAATTAATGAATCAATCCCTGTCTTTGAATCATACAGATTCGAATAGTTATACCTGTGTGAGTTACCATGTGCTGATTGTGACTTGTGAAAACTCCGTGTGTGAGGAGTGAAGCTGCTCTGGTGGGCTTTGTTGAGTGTTATCTGTGGAGGCGAATTCCAGCTCTCTCTGCTGAGACTATTATATAACTAATGTTTCTTTTTTTTTTCCTTTCAATTTAGTGTAAACCCAGGACTTTCTATTGGACTGAGCTTTGGTTCTTTTATTGTATATTATAAAGATGTATTAAAAATTTACGAAGGCATAGGATCAAGCAAGATTTTAAGAGGTAAGTTGTAAAAATGTATAATCCATTATCAAAATGAAATTGTGTGAGGAAATGTTTTGGTGTGATATAGTTCCCCTTTGATTCTGAACTGAATAGAGGCTTGAGCTTTGAGTCAATAAAAGAAATAAGCAAAACTGATTCCAAAAAAACTCCCCAAAACTGATTCCTAAGACTTAAAAAAAGAAATTCAGTGCCTATGTTATTTTTCTAATCACAAAAGAAATGTTATTTTCCATGCACTCTTCTAATGTTTTTCATTTGAAACTTGCTGGAAATATAATTACATTTTCACTTAATATGTGTTTTTAAAGGTTACTTCTCAATATAAAAGTCAAATAAATGTTAAGAAGTACTATTTTGAATTTCTAAAATATTATATAGTTTGTTTTCTGTGCTTTTTCACAATATGGGCACTACACCTGTCTCTGGCATGACTTTTATGATATTACTGATAAAATAATGCAGTATAAATCAGAGGACACTGCGTGGAAGTAAATGATATTTTTATTATTGTGTAACCATTTTTCATGAACCCATCACTAATAAACCAGTTTTTCTAGAGGTGCAAAATCAGTGAAGTGTATATAGAAAAATGTATCTCAAAGAAATAACTCATACAGTGTGGAGACTTGCAATGCCCCCAAACTAACTGCTTAGGTCCCCAGCATTGTAGGAGATCCAAAAATCTGTTGGTCAGAAAACAGGCTAATGGTTCCCATGCCAAGAACCAGAGATCTGAGGATGAAGAGTTGGATGCAGGAATCAACAGAGATCAAGCTTGTCCCACAATTCATATGTATTGGATGCAGACTACAACCGCACAAGAACTCCCCTTTCAACTGATTGGCTGCTCACCTCACGTCAAAAAAATGAAGGATGATTACATAGCATCGGTAATACCACTTGGAGAACTGGTGGCATAGTGATTAAGCCTTGATCTGCTAACCACAAGATCAGCAGTTCAAGACCTCCATGTGCACCGAGGGTCAAAGAGGGGGTCTTCTACTCCCATAAAGAGCGACAGTCTCAGAAACCCACAGGGGAAATTCTACTCTGCCCTACAAATTCACTATAAGTTGAAATAAATCCGATGACAGTAAGTGGGTCCTACTACTTCGTATCATGTTCTAACCAAGTTCAAACATAATCTTAAACATCAGAGGCACTAAGAAGATTTAAGAAAAATATAGAGAATGACATTTGCAATGTACATTTGTCCACCCAACTTGCTTCACTTGGACCCGAAATTCACAGTAGGATTCATGGCAGCCAGTAAAGTAAGAACAGAGTTCCACGAAGAAATAAAATGAGTGTGCAAAGGAAATGTGCAAGGAGAGTTCATTAAGTAGCTTCCCTCATGTATATAAAATTTTTCAAAACCATTTTATCATAAGTTGATACAGATACCTTATCATGTAATAGTTCATGACATCAAGCAATAATGTACAATTTCTGCCACAATCAGTTTCAAAACATTGTTTTCCCTCTTGAATTCCTTGACATCAGCTCCTTTTACTGTCCTGCCCCTCCCCAGCCACCACTCCAGCCCCCAGAACCCTCACTCTACTTGCCGTCCCTATAGGTTCATCAATCCTGGATTTCAACTACTGAAAAACATAAACATATAGCGAAAATCCAAGAGGGTGATCCCTATGATATAACACAACTGGGACAAATGCCAATACGAACAAATAAAACCCCCAAAATATTTTTCAGAGAATGTTGAAAACCACATCAGGCCTAATGTGCATTGGAGGGGAGACGAGCTGACAAGGTTTTAACCTTTCAAGTCAGGTTGACCCTTCTGAGCTCCTACCATTTTCTCTCCAGTGCATTCCATTTGGTAACCGCCTTCTTGCCATCCCTCTATTAAGGACATAGGCTTATTTCCTGTGTGTGTCACGCAAATGCATCTTGGGCACCCCTGTCATCCATAACCATCTGCAAACCAGATTCTCACCATTTAGGCTCTGATACGAATTCCTCCTTTGATTTAGGATAATATGATTTACGATCCTTCTGTGATTGATATCGGTGTGCTTCTTCCATGTGCACTTAGTTGATATCACTTAGATGGCGGCTCATTTGGGGTGAAAAAATGCCTTTGAGGCCCCAGACAACATCTAATTGATTCTCCGCACTTTGCTATAGGAACGTCCCCTTCCTGAGGACAAGTATCAAGCAGGGCCATGATGTAAAAACTAATTTTTCTTAAATTGGACATAGGATTTAGTGCAAGTTCAAAACCCATTTCTGGATCTCTCTCTCTGTCTGTATCTATATATATATTCTATATTATATTACATATATAGTATATATAATTCATTTTTTTAAATCTGCCTTTGGCTCCATTTCAAAAGCTCCTTATTCATTTATGGTAAAGATTCTTATTAATAATCCTCCTGTGGCATAACAATCTTCCATTAATATTGTTATTGATTAGTCCTCGTACTAATTTTTTAAAGCCCTATCTAGAGTGGGATATTGGGCCAATGTAGGCTAACTCCATATCACAGTGCCTGAATCATTCAATTGCACAGATTCAATCATTTCATGTCTGGGTGATATTTACACAAACAATGGGAGTTGATTGCCAGGGAAAATTTACAATAATATTCACTGAAAATGTCAGTCACAGATTCGGTGGAATAGTATATATCTGAATAGCATAGAAGGCATTGATGTAGCATTGAGGTAAGGGAGCGAAGCTGGGAAGGCTCTCTGTGCAGCAGGCCTCTGTGAGCTCTAGCTTCCAGGGTTCCGAGTGCTCTGAGACAATCAAGAGCATGGGGCCTGCTGCTTGGCCTTGGGGGGAAGGAGGGAGTCTGGCTGGGGATATTTCCTCTGGTTGGGGAGTCACAGACCTAGAGGGGAAGGGAGGAGACTGGCATTAATTGCCCTGCAGGTATTTTGAGCTCAGGGACAGGGGAGACCACAGTGAGCTCTGTAGCATCTCTGGGGATGAAAAATCGGAGGGAAGTTTAAAATATTCCTAGAGTGCTGAGCATACCGGTCTTACATCTAAATTCCAGAATTGACCTGCTCACCTGCCGATCTCTGGATCATCCAAGGGAAGTTCTTAGCAGGGGGCCATATCTCGATGCTATCTTCCCAGGTCCTCTCTTTGCTCATATTTTGAAGTCAGTAATGTGTAGAGTTTGCAAGCGTTATCTATTTTAAAGTTTAATAATAGCTGCATTTATTTTAATAAATTTTGCTCTCCTATTTTACTTAGGGTGATTAAAAAGTGAATATTCATAAATAAAATTTCTTGATTGAATTTATGTTTGAGGCATATTTTATCATATAATAATATTAGTTTTAATTTGGCACTACTTATGTGACTGGCACTGGACTAAGGGCTTATATGTGGATTTTAGCATTTAAAATTTCTGATAGCTGTCATGTATACAGAAAATATTTTTAATGTTTCAAATTTTACTTTAAAATTTAAGGAATGGCATTGGCATTTAATAAAATTAAATTAAAAGCATTTTTAAATAAAGTGAACTTTTTCTTAAACATTAATTTTTAACTTAGCATCTAACACATTATTGGTTTATTTTGAAAAATTAACTAATATGTATTGATGTACATATAAAGTAGCAGATAATTATTCCTGCCATATGCTATCAACATATCAATATATATAATTAGTGGATACAATATCTTTTCTATGAAACTAAAGTCATTTTGTATTGCAAAAATGATGATTTCAATTCTATTTAAAATCTCATGCTTCTTTTTCATCTCCTAACTTTTTTAGAAAGATTTTTTAGAGATTCTTACTTAACATTAAGTAGTAGTAAAGTAAGTAAAGTAGTAAATTAAGTAGTACTTATTTACATTAAATCCCAATTCAGAATATCTATATTCAATATTATTATTATCACATTTAGATATGAAAATATTTTCATTTAATTGTGGAATATAGAATTGCCAGAGAAGCTATATGTAAATAAAAACATACAGTATCACAAAATACATGTCATTTACTTTATGAGTTGCCAGCATAAAGGCATTCTAAGGGCATTTCCAATCATTTTACCATGTATTGGTGATGTAAAGATTCTTTTAATAGTAAAAAAAAAAGATTCTTTTAATAGTAAGAAAAATAGAGGAAAGTGAGAAAACAAGTGATATCACACAATACAATAAAATATTCTGCAAATGATACATGGAAATTCAAGTAAGGCAGAAGTTTCCATGGGAGTTCAAAAATATGTAATTTTCAATTATAATGGTGTCATATTTAATTCAATAACTGTAGCAATTATCCACACTAATTATGAAGCAGATATAGGAAGTTTGAGATGATTTGTGTACTCGTCTCTTTTAATATTGTTGTTATTCATGTAAATATATAACTATTTATATAAAATCACAGAGGATGATAATAAGAAATAGCCTGCGTGGGCACATTTTTTCCCCAAATTGATAAGCTTAGAAAACATGCTACCAAATGAATATCGGTTATGCTATATTTCACATACTCAAGTGCTCAGGTCGTATTTTATTTCCAGAATACTAGCAATTACAGTGTAGCTAAGGTTATGCTTTTAAAATTGAGCAACTATATTGCTAAGAAAAAGTGCTCACAGATTCAGTCAAAGCTATACAACAAAGAGTTCATCTTCTATAATTTTTTCTTAAAAGTTATTTTTCCAGTAACTTGATCAGGTTGGGTTATTGCTGTCAAGTTGGTTCAACTCATAATGATCTGATGTACAACAGAAGGAGACAACACCAAATCCTGCACCATCCTCGAAGCTGTTCTCTTAGATGAGCCCATCATGGTGGCTGTCTTGTCTCGAGTCATCCGCCTTTTCACTGATGCTCCCTGTCACCAAGCATGACCTCCTTTCCAAGGACTGGTCTTGCCTGACAACACGTCCCAAGTATGTGAGACAGATCCTGCCATCCTTGCTTTTTATTTTTTAAATTTTATTTATTTATATTTTTAAACCATTTTATTAGGGGCTCATACAACTCTTATCACAATCCATACATACATCAATTGTGTAAATCACATTTGTACACTCATTGCCCTCATCATTCCCAAAACATTTGTTCTCCACCTAAGCCCCTGGCATCAGGTCCTCATTTTCCCCTCGCTCCACACTCTCTCCTCCCTCATGAACCCTTGATAATTTATAAATTATTATTTTGTCATGTCTTGCCCTGTCCGACGTCTCCCTTCACCCTCTTTTCTGCTGTCTGTCCCCCAGGGTGAGGTCACATGTAGAAGAGTTCTTGCTGTAGTTCTCCTAAGATAAATTCACTTGTTCTTTTAAACTAGATGCAGCGAATGTGACCATATTGCATATAACTTGTGAAAATAACATATGCACATATTTTTTAATATGGAGCATTTTCAATAAGCTTCACTCTATTACTTCACCACTTTGGGGTAAATTAAGAGATTTTAACTCACCTCTGGCTATAGCTATACATTACACAGAAAAATTTAACTATCACTATTTGAAAGTGTTACTTTTCACAAAACTCTTTAAGATTCTCTAATTATAGTGCCTCATAGAATTAAGTATTTCTTCCAGAATTCTCATGACACTACACCCATATCAAATAATTCCACAGTTTCTTTTCTTTGTAGCTGTGATTGAAAAAAAAATAGAGTATGAGTACTTCTTCACCATTTCATTAGCACTAGGCTCCATATATTACAAACATCAAGATTACAGCAAGATTGGTGGCTCATATACATTGGCCACTGTACAGAAGAAAGATGACATTTGCTCCTGTGAATTGGGCCATGGGTTCTATTTGGCCCTACAAGCAGTGGTTCTCAACCTTCCTACTGCTGGGGCCCTTTCATACAGTTCCTCGTGTTGTGTGGTGACCCCCAACCATAGAATTATATTCGTTGCTACTTCGTAACTGTAATTTTGCTGCTGTTATAAATCAGTCCACCCCTATGAAAGGGTCATTCAATCCCCAAAGGGTCACGACCCACAGGTTGAGAACCGTTGCCGCTTAGGTCACTATAAGTCAGAATTGGTGAGATAGTAGATAAAGGCATGAAGTGGTTGGCTTACAAACTTTCATAGGTAGGGGAAAAAATTCACAGGATTATAGGGTTAAGGTATAGGTGTTACTTAATTGCAATTGTGGAAGCTAATAATTATATACAGGTGCCAGGTTGGCAAGGGGTGGATTGAGTTAGTTAATTGTGCCAACCTGGCCGATAATCGCATGTGGGGCTAATTGAAAGGCGGAGGGATAAATGGGTGAGCCTCGCCTTTCTAGTTCTCAGGTCTCTTGCTTTGTGATGGTTGCACCGGGTGCAGCTGCCTTAGCAGTTCCCTGCTTCAGCTTGCAAGATTGACTTCCTACAAGACATCCCCAAGGAGAAGCCACATGGACCTATCCAGATGCAGCCCAGGGTGCAGGAGCAGCTGTGTGGAGACCCCTGATAGTGCTGAGATGCTTATTCGTTCACTGACTCAGCTTTCCTCCTGCAGTCGGCATCATTGCCTCAGTTTTGTGAGGTGGAGGACTTTGTGGACTGCTGTTGGGTTAATGGGTTATGATGGACTTGTGGGCTTGGGCAGCATTGGGTTGGGATGTTTTCATGATGCACACTTTCTTTACATAAAACTTTCGTATACATGAGTTGCTGTGGATTTGTTTCTCTAAAGTACCTAGACTAATACAATTGGTTTGATAGCAGATGTGTGTGTGTATGACATATATATATATGGAAATTTGTTATTTAATTTTATCACATTATATATGGAGAGTACTGTTATATTGAAGACTGCTGGTGGTACAAATGGCTAAGCTCTCTATTTCTAACGTAAAGGTGGTGGCTTTACCCCATTCAATGAGAAAAACCTGGCCATCTGGAAACTTCATGGGGGAAGTTCTACTGTTATATGGGGTTGCCAGGAGCCAGAATTGACTCAGTGGCAGTCAGCGACAGCACTATTATAACAAAGGGAACAGTAGCACAGAAAAGCCTCCGATAATATAGAACCCGCACTGAATTGGGATGATGACTCTGGAGCTCCTATTCTTAACCAAGACATTCCACTATATTTCGAGATACATTGTGTTTGTTTGTTTTTGTTTTTTTAGCTAAGAAGCCTTAAATAATTTAATGCACATTTTACTAACTACTTATAAACACAAATATTAAATATCATTTCCAGAGATTTTTGTGTACTTCTGAAGCACATTAATGGACCACAGAACATAAACTCCTGAATTATGCTGTAGACATTGGACTATGTCAGGATCCAACACATTGCATACACCAAGAACCCCATTGAGCCACTAACAAACAGAGCCCCTGCACCATAGAACTCAGTTATGAAGGGGAAAGAAAGCAAGGAAGAAAAGTATAGATGTCCCTGAAGTTAAGTTTTTAGAAAATTCACTTCCTTAGAGAGTAGAGAACATGAACTTCAAAATTTTCACTCAATGTGAGGAGAATCATTTGGGTTTTGCACTTAGTAGTCTGGTTGGAGGAGTTTCAAGACCAACGTAGATCTTCATGAGAAAATGCTGAACAAGTATTTTTTGTGGGAAACGATGTGTGAGTCAATGTTTGTGATGCTATTTATATTAGTTTCTGCTGAAATAATAGTGCATATAATTGGTACAAAAATGACATGAAAAGAACAGATCCTTTAATAGTTTAAAAAGGTTCTTCTTTAGAACTTATTATTAACCATTTATCAACAATGATGTTTGTCTCCAACATACACTTCGATGCTTAGTTCAGATTATCAAACCTATATTTACTTCATCCCTTTTTCATTATCACCCTCATTAAGGAATATCTGTCAAATATTTCTATAACTGCTTGTTCTCCATGAAATTTTAATATCACCATTATACTGTACAACTTTTATATACTATACACATATACCACATTCACAATATAAAGAAAGTAAGATTTTTTTGGTCTTCAAGAACCAATTTTCACCCTCTTGAGAAAAGCATAATGCCTTTAGGCAATTCATGTTAGACTATAAACATTTTATGAAAACAAATTTCATGCAACAGTGATTTTGTAAATCATCATATACCAAATACAATACTAAGACTTGGGAATCAAAAATTTAGAAGGGTATTCCTTAAGGAGCTCAGAGGTAAGTTAAAAAAATGAGAAAATCAATATAACATGCTACAAGAACAGTATTTTAGACACCAAGGATTATTTTGGGATCTCGCCATTATATTGAAATATTATTTGTTTTTATTACTCTGACCCAGTTTTACATCACGGGACATGGGAAATACTTGAAAAAGCCAATCTTTTAGTTTTACAAATGCTTAACTTGTGTTTCCTAGGGGAAATTTTTCAGTAAAGGTTTGCATGTTTTATTTCTGTATGTATATATAGTGTATTTAGTTAAAACAAAAACTATTAATTTGGTTTACAGGTTTCTATAAACCGTACATATATAATAATTTGAAATTTCCTCATGTTTAATTGAAGATCCATTTAAATTGAAATAAAGTAGAGATAAGGACTAATGCTTTCAATCAACTTTTATCAGATTAGATAAATTTGTATATATAACAGTCAATCATTTCTTTTGTAGCTTCCCTCTCAGAAAGAAGTCCTGGAACAATTAGGATTTTTTCCAACCAAATTACAGTCACCTTTCTTATAGGATCTGAGGAAAGTGAATATATTGGCTTTAATGCAACATATACTGCATTTAACAGCAAAGACCTTAATAGTAAGTATTGTTTATTTTGTAGCCTTAACATTTTTAGATGTTTTACTATTATAATGAAATTTTAAATGGAGCAAAACCTTCGATCTTTTTGCAAGATTTTAATCTGTCTTATTATGCAAATTTATCAATCTGTATCTCTTATGTGTAGCTCGCTCTGCCTGATATTTAGAAATGAAAAAGTAGAAAAGAATGTATGTTCTTCAAATGAGATGAATAGCCATTTTGAGAAAAATTACAAATCATGTAAAAACTTAAATAACACTTATATGTATTCAAAGTTTTAAAACCGTAACATAATACCAAATCTAAGAGTTTTCCAAATTCATTTTGAGCAAAGTCTTTAATTTATTAATATGTGGGAAGATGTGTTGAGCAAACTTTGTGGGAGTAAACCAATGAAAAAAACATACACATCATGTCAAAAGAGCAGTAAGGGAGGTTTTGTAAAGCCCTGACAAGATATATGAAACAGATTAATGTAGCAGATTGATGATAAATGCTGGTTTTTGAACTAAATTAAATTAACAGAGTAATGATGAATAAAGAACTACTTGATAGTTGCAACTTAATTATAAATAATAAATCTAGATTATTTTCAGTGAAATCTATTAAAATACATGGCAAACTACATTTTATTGTTTTCACTACTAATTCACAGATAATGAGAAAATTAATTGCAACTTTGAAGATGGCTTTTGTTTCTGGATCCAAGACCTAAATGATGATAATGAATGGGAAAGGGTCCGAGGAAACACTTTTCCTCCTCTTACTGGACCAAACGTTGACCACACTTTGGGAAATACTTCAGGTATATATCCAAATTATAATAATAATATAAGACAGTCTTACCAGAGTCTGAAACTAGATTGGAATCTCCCCATTCCAGTCTGAAAATCGTGAGGGCTGTAAATCCCGGATTTACGATGACCACCTGCTCGTTTCCCCTACTTATGCGTGAAGGCAGATGATTCTTCAAATGAAAGAGGGAAGCTGACTTCTCACCAGAAACGATCTTTCAGAATCAATCACTTTGCAATTGTGTAAGAGGTAGCAAAGGAAAACAAAATACTGTTTGTTCTTTTATTTTTGAAACTGGTAGATTATTAAACTCCATGAAAACCTAGCCAACATACAAATTAAAATAATATTTAAAGTGAAAAAAAAAAGACAGTCTTTAAAGATTTTCTCTATTTAAAAGAATTATTTAGATGAAAAATGGTTAGCAAATAAACAAAAGGTCAGTGTTTCTAAAATATAGTTTATCCTATACATTTGCATCACATTGAAAAATATCCAGAGGCCATAAAGTTCATGAAGATTTGACTAGTTCCACAAGTCTGCATTAACTAATAGTTAAGTGGACTTGAATAAGCCAGGTTACGTTTCTAAACACTGTTTTCTTCTGTGTTCCTTTTAGTTGGGGTGTGTGATTATTCATGGATGTTCCTGTTCAGGGCCATCCAGTGGATTCTCACCCAATGACCCTGTGAAAAGAGAGGCACACTGCCGCGTCCGACGCCAGCCTCAAAACTGTTCCATGTTTGAGCCTGTGGTTGCCGCCACTGTGTCAATCCATCTTGTCGAGGGGCTCCCTCTTTTTTTGCTGCTTCTCTGCTTGATCAAGCGTCGTGTCCTTCTCCAGGGACTGATCGCTCCTGACAGTATGTCCCAATTATGTAAGGGGAAGTCGTGTCATCCTTGCCTCTAGGAAACATCTGGCCATACTTCTTCCAAGGCAGATTTATTTGTTTTTTTGGCAGTCCATGGGATTTGCAATATTCTTTGCCAGCATCATATTTCAAAAGACCCAATTCTCCACTGGTCTTCCTTCTTCAATGTCCAGTTTTCACATGACTTAGGTCAGGTGCACCTTATGCCTCAAAGTGCTTTCATCCCTTTAAAGTGGCCTTGTGAAGCAGATTTACCCAATGGAATGCATCTTTAGACTCTTAACAGATTTTTCCATAGGCAATGATTGTGATTCCACATACAATGAAATTACTGTTTCAGGGTATATCTCTTTCCATCCTTTCTATTTCAAACTATGGTATGTACGTCTAAAATACATCTCTTGTAGACAGTATATTGTTGAATCATGTTGTTGTTGTTGTTTTAGCACCATCCAATCAATCTCTATCTTTTAATTGGAGTCTTTAATCAATTAAAATGTAATTTATAATACTAAAATTTTGGGGATTTACATGTGCCCATTTGCCCATTGTTAGGTGCCACTGTTATCAGTTCTGACTCATAGCAACCCAATGGACAACAGAACGAAACCCCGTCCTGGATTCAGCCCTCATGGTGTCCTTCTCCAGGGACTAATATCTCCTGACAACTTATCCAGAGCACTGGAGACAAAGCATCGCTACCCTTGTCTCACGCTCTGGCTTTTCATTCCGCTGCTGCTGGTGGTACTCTGCAGGAGGGTATTCTGTCTTCTGGGGGTGGGGGGCGGTGAAGGTTTAGCTCAGGTTTCCTCAGAATCAAAAGTATCTATTGTACTCTTGGCTCTTCTTTTTTAAGAGTAGTGAGGTCCATGATTCCTGCTTGTGAGGTGGCTTATTTTATACCCAGCAGTATGGAAAAATTGATCAATCCTCATGTTAGAGTTGCAAATTTTCATCATTACAATGAACCCGTTAACAGTCACTCACTACTGAATCATATAAACCTACCAGCATCTTCACTTAACGTTTTCCCCTTAGCCCCATGAAGAAGAGAGTAAATACACACAATATGCATGTTTGCACCCAAATATTTGTGGAAGAATATAGATCATGGTGAATGGAAAGGTTAAGTGTTGGTGTATTTTTTCCGATTTAAGTAGAATGACCCAATTAGTCCTTATTGAAAAAGTGAATTTTCATGAGAATTTAAAGGATTTGGTTTTATAAATTATTCCAGACAGAAGAGAGGAACAAGAGGGATTTATGTATGGCGTGAGGAAAAGCCAAGTGATTTGAGGGTCCCAAGTAGCCTGAGAAGGTATCCTAGCTTCCAGATAATGAGAAGACTTTTATGACTTCTATGACATGACTTTTTCTCTTAGTAAAATGAGTAAAGAAAATTCTTGAGCATAAGTGTCATAGGATTCACTGTGATTGATAAGTAGAGGTTAATCTGAGGAAAGGCTGGAGTGTTTTAAGACAGACATATACCCATGTCTGTCAAGTCCTTTTCAACTCATAGGAACCCTGTAGGACAGAGTTGAGTTGCCTGTCCAGGTTTATAATCTTTAGTGGGTTAAGTGTTGGCCTGCTGGCTACAAGGTCAACAGTTACAGTTCACTAGTTGCTCCATGGGAGAAAGATGAGGCTGTCAGGGCCCATAAAGATATAGCATTTTGAAAACTCTGAGGGTAGTTCAACACTGTTCTATAGGGTCTCTATTAACTGGAATCGACCCAGTAGGGTTTGATTTGGAACTTTACAGAAGCAGAATACCACATTTTTCTCTCGTGGATCAACAAACCTTTCTGTTAGCAGGCAAGCAATTTAAACACTGCACCCTTGGGACATTTTTTAAGGGATGCATGTGACCAGCTATCCTATAAGTCAGAAAACAAGTCCTGTCACTCAGATCCAAGTAGAGAGCAATATGGTGGGAATAGTTCAGACTCTTCAGAACTATAAAAGTAAAGTAGTCATGATTCTGCTAACTAAGTTGCAAATATGGACATATGGTCCAAAAAAAAGTGTTCTTAGTAGATAGTCCATACTATTAAGCCAGAAATCTTTAGCATTTAAAACTGTAACATGAATATTCTCATATAGAATTTGGACTCTTTGAACATATTGTTTCACAATGCCTGATCCTCTATGGATAAATTAGTACCTCACACAGCAGGAGACTGACCCCTAAGTGAATAATGACCCTAGTCCACTAAAAAGGCCTCACCTAAAATAGATAATATTATCATTATTTTTTATGATAAGAAAAAATGTTTCTACCCCACTTGGACAAGAGTAGTCAGAAGAAAGTACAGAAAGCATTTATATCCATTGACTATGACAGATACCATTTATATAGTTGAAATCTTTGATGTTCAAATGATCATTTTTCTCCTTTTGTGTCATCATAATAAGAGATAAAAGGATACCACTGGTATTTGGAGAGTGTAAGTACATTACAGGAGAAAAAATGGTTTCGGCTTGCCAACAGATTAAATAACCAAAGGAAAAGAAGAAACTGACCAAAGTGAAACAGGTGGAAGGTCAGGTGGAGGATTTTAACAGTTGGGTCTGAAATGGAGTCTCGGGTGAGAGTTGGGTAGCAGAAGTTATTTAAAATTATACAAAAGCAGTTCAGAGCCCACCAGAGGCAGTCAGTAGCATAATGAGGACAGATGATAAGGCTTAATAGGTCCTCTCCAACTTGAATGCTTGTGATTTCATAATTTATCAGTCATCCCCCCACCCCAAGGGGCCTTTTTCTTCCAACCTGCTTTTTTATGTGTCAGAACAGCCTTCCTCTGAAATGGAAGAGAATGAAATCTCTCCTGCTGCTCCTCTTATCCATGCAGGCACTTTTTGTTCTTTACCTTCATTTTCAATGACAGGAAAGTCTAAATGAAACAGATAAACTTTGCATTAACATTGCTTTAGGGCAGAACATCTAAGCCTCTTAACTTTTCAAGTCCTTCTGAAGAACTCTGTCCTGGTGGAACAGCAACTTCTAAATCTCTGCGGTGTGGAAGCCCTGGGTCTCTGTGTGCCTCCGAGTCGAAAGGGCATCTGGTGGAGATGATGATAGTGATTCAGAGCAGTATCTCCTGGTTTTCAGACTGGGCTTTCAAAATAGTCAGAAAAAATAAGGTTAGTAGCTTGTGAAAACTTCAGAAATGTAGGGGCCACAGAAGAGCTAGATATCCCAAAGAAGCTGTCTCTTTGTATGTTTTCCCCAACAAGATCACATATATTTTTTAGTGTTTGGGGAGGCAAAATGGCATAGTAATAAAAAGTGTTAATAGAAACCCTGGTGTATCATCTGGGTTTGAATGGATATTCTGTCTGTTAGGCAGGTTTTCTTTTCTCTCTAATGGTGTACTCCCTTCATCTGTGAGAGGTGGATGGCATCAGAATCTGATTTCATAGATATATTAGAAGCATTAAATCTATTACTATGGCTGAAAAGAAAGGAAAACATTGTCTGGCACAATGAAACTGATATATAAAGGTTAGTTATTATAACCAGGTATATTTCTAGATAATTAAAGATCTTATTATTTTCCTGTAGTGTTTGCATTATTTTATTTATTTCTTCTGTATGTTCTAAATAACTAGACTTAAAGTAAACTCAAAGAGATTCGTATTAGAAATTAGATTATGGATCCTATTGGATATGAACCCCATTGGGTAGATAACTGAGAACTGACTATATATCTATATAAATATATATATGTATATATGTATGTTTGTATACAGATAGAAAGATAGAGAAATAGATATAGATATAAATGTTATATAGCTAAAATAGGTATTCCATGAAATGCCACAAGAACAAAAACAACATTGAGATCCAATATTTTCCAACTCATAGAGCATCTGTAATAATCATAAGTATTATGCTAATAATGTAGAAAGTTATGCATGCACTATTTTGCTAGTTTCAATCTAAATAAGAAAGACATTCAGCTGTATTCCAATCCTGATAAAATGCTTGCTTATTTTGAATAATTTTGGACTCACTGATCTAAGTATACCTTGATATATTTATAAACATGTCCAATTGAATTTCTTTTCTCTAAACCCTGTTCTTCAGTGTTTGATAAATAAGTGAGTATGAATTACACATGCAATACCAACTATAACAATTTCTTCCGGAAAGAAGAAGAGAAAATATTTTTTCCCAAATAAACACTACATTGAAAAAAATCATAAAATTTTACTTTAATCAAATTGGATTTATCTAATATTTCAAATCCATGTGAAAATATACCCCACTTTCTAACAATACTTTCTATTTTCTATAACAGATTATGAGATACAAACTAAGAATAATCATTTAAAAAATCTCTAAACATATTCAGGTTCATTCTCACGCCAACAACTCTTCATACACTTCAAATGCCTTAAATCACTGGTTAAATCAGAAAGGACTTTATGCAGTGGCTTCATTATTTAGAGAGCTTTTATGTGGATTAGCATGCTTTCTGCTCCTCTGCTATATGATTATTTTTTATTCATAGGAATAATCAGGTAACTTTATAGATAGAAAAATGAAATGCAGTAAGTAGAATATAAAACATTAGGTTTTTAAAACTCTTAACTGCATCTTTGATTTTGTATTTAAATACTTTGTGTATCATTAGTTATTCCACCAGCATGCCTCAGTATCCTTATATGCTGATGCTTATATATAAAAAGTAAATTAACCAAAATACCTAGTAATATGGAATTAAAGTAGTATTAGACATGATCATATAATGAAATCATTATATAGACTTATAATAAGACAGAGTTTGAAATGTCTTTAGCGGCAATCTAGGTCAAGGTCCTGGGATAATAAATCTAGAGGTTTAGTATTATAAAATATGTTTTTAAATAAAAATCTTTATGTCAGATCTGCTACCTTCTGGGCATGAGTCTAGAGTCCTTTGCATTATATTTAAATACAGCTACATGTATTTCCACCTGGAAGTCTTTCTCTTTTTTTCTGGTTATGAAAGATATAGCTCACAATACAAATGCTAACATTTAAACCCTATGCTTTTTTCTTGATATTTTTATAGGATTTTACATTTCCACCCCAATTGGACCTGGATGGAGAAGTGTAAGAGTAAGACTGTTAAGCCTCCCATTGACCCCCACTTTGAAGCCCATCTGCCTTAGTTTCTGGTATGTTGTGGGTACACGTTGAACTCTTTTTCTAGTTGCCCAGCTCAGATTACGCAAAAATGTTCTTCCAAGTTTCAATGCTCATGTCACAATTCTACCAAGTGATAACGTAACAACATGTTCATTGCCTCTGTTCCCCATCCCCAGAAACCCCTGTACCCAAGGGTAAAGAGAAGGTATTTTAAAAGACAGTAAAGAGCTTAGAGAAGAGTTGCCACGTGGTGCTAATGTTTACCACTGTTGTTTAGTGAATAACACATGCAGAGATTTCAGTCCACCTTGATGTACCACAAAAGCAAACCCTGGAGATCAACTTTTACAATTATCAGCTGCTATTGAAAACCCTGTGGAGTGCAGATCTACCGATACAGCTGGGTCACCATGGCTCATAAATAACTCCATTGTAACAGGTTTATTGGTAAAGGCATTACAAAATTAATGCACCAATAGTAGAATCCAGATCATATATAGGTTCTTTGTTTGCATAAGAGCAAACAGGCTTTAGAAGGAGCAGGGGAGAATTAGCGCACTGTTTCAGTGACCACTATGGTACCTGACAATGATGTTTGTGTTAACAGATAATCAAAAAGAACCAGAAGGGAAGAAGTGATTTTCAGGCAAAATTAATGCAAAGTTATTTATTTCATGAAAGTCCTGATTTTTCATAGGATTTCCAAATCATTGATAACATGACATCAAATCTATTGCACAAAACTATTTTAAAATAAACTCTTCTCTTACACAATAAAGATGCCTAATTATGAGTTGAGAGCAGTTACATTTCCAGAATGAAAAGATCATTTTTCTGCTGAACTTTAAGTCTAGGGAAAAGATACTTAATTTTTATAAACAATACTATGATAATATTATTGAATGAATCTTTTCTTAAGGGGTGTTTAGCCATCAACTTAATAGTTGTAACAGATTACTAGAAAAAAGTCCTCTTTACTACAAGATTTTCTTTTCTTGTGTATTATACTCCGTGCTAATCACTCATAATGACTCCAGGAAATCTGAAACTCTAAAGTTTTACAGGAGCCTCATCTCTCCTGCAGAGTTCATCAGTATGAATAAAATAAAATAATAAAATAAAATATGGCTTGACCTGTCCTGACATTTATGTAACTAATAGGAAACAAGATACCCTCCCAGCGCCCCCCCCCCAAAAAAAAAAGTATCCCGTTGCATGGAGTCAATTCTGACTCTTTGTGACTCTATATAAGGTCTCTAAGACTCAAAACCTTTATGGTAGGTTTGAACCACTGACCCTGTGATTAGCAAGCCAACATTTAATTGGCAGCATATTACTTGAGAAAGGCAAAGACAAATATTAAAATAATTATGCACTGAATAATTAACACTATTTCCCTTCAAGTCGCACTTTCCTTATCTTGGATCCTCTTATAAGATACCTTAGAGATGGTTGGTTGGATAATGAAAAACACAGTCCTAACTTAAGTAAGTTAATGCACCAAAAATGGGGGATAATTATGCAATGTACTTCACATCAAGCTGAGCAGGCACAGTTAAATGAGAAGATAAATCCCCAATGACTCCCTCCTTGGAAGCTTCCTTCATTTATAGGATTTGCACATACAAATATTTCATGGAATAGCAGGACCTCATGTTGCATTTGGTGAACCATTTGCAAGCTTGCAATATTTTTAATTTAGCTAAATACTTTCGGGATAGTCTTTACTTCAAATCCTTAAGGTTTTATTTTTACAAAATTGTATTCCATTCTTCCCTTTCAACTACATCCTCCTATCAAAATATTTGATGTTGCTCTTACCCGCCTTTAAATCAGTTCCAAATCATGGAAACCCTGTGTATAAAAGAATCAAACACTTCCTGGTCCTGCATCAAAATTATGCAGGTTTTAATTGTTTTCACTTTAATTATGTTTTGCTTTTTAAACTACTCATTCTAAATAAAAATAAAACAATTTTTATATGCTTGTTTGAAAACTAGGTATTACATGTATGGTGAAGATGTCTATAAATTTAGCATTAATATAAGCAGTGATCAAAACATGGAGAAGACAATTTTCCAAAAAGAAGGAAATTATGGAGCAAATTGGAATTATGGACAAGTTACAATAAATGAAACAGTGGAATTTAAGGTTGGCAAACACTTTGTAATTTAAATCACTTACCCATAGTCTGATTAGGGTAATTATGGTCTATTTTCTGAAGATAGAGAAGTCTCTTACTCTTTCCTAATCAACCTCAATTTTTTAAATTAAATATTTTATTGGGGGCTCTTACATCTCTTATCACAATCCACACATTCATAAATTGTGTCAAGCATATTTGTACATTGACTGTCATCATTATCAAAGCATTTTCTTTCCACTTGAGCCCCTGATCTCAGCTCCTCACTTTTTCCCTCTCCCTCCCCCATCTACCCTCCTTCATGAACACTTTATAAGTTATAGATTACTATTTTCATATCTTACATCCTCTTCTGTCACTCTTTACCCAATTTTCTGTTGTCTGTCTCCAGGGGAGGGGGTTGTATGTTAATCCTTGTGATCAAATCCCCCTTTCTCTCTCCTCCTTCCCCCTATCCGCCTGGTATCTCTATTCTCATTGTTGGCCCTGAGGTGTTTATCTATCCTGGATTTCCTGTGTTACGGGTCTTATCTGTAGCAGTGGGCATGTTCTGGTCTAATCTGATTTGTAAGGTAGAATTGAGGTCATGATAGTGGGGGGAAGGAAGCATTAAAGAACAAGAGCAAAATTGTGTGTTTCATCGGTGCTATACTGCACCCTGACTGGCTCATCTCTTCCTTGTGACTTTTCTGTGAGGGGATATCCAGTTGTCCACAGATGGGCTTTGGGTCTCCACTCCACACACACATCCCCCATTCACATTGGGTATGATTTTGTTCTGGGTCTTAGATGGTTGATACTTGATCACATTGACACCTTGTGATCACACAGGCTGGTGTGGTTCTTCCATGTGAGCTTTGTTGCTTCTCAGCTAGATGTTTATCTTCAAGCCTTTAAGACACCAGACGCTATATCTTCTGATAGCCAGGCGCCATTAGCCTTCTTCACCACATTTGCTTATGCACCCATTTTGTCTTCAGTGATTGTGTTGGGAAGGTGAGCATCCAGAATGCCGGATTATTAGAACAAAGTGTTTTTGTGTTGAGGGAGTACTTGAGTCAAGGCCAATGTCTATCTGCTACCTTAATTCTTAACATATAGATATAAATACATAGAGCTATTCCCCTCTCGTTTTATATAAATATGTTTACATAGGCACATGCCTGCATTTAGACATCTATAAAGTCCGTTTTTGTTTTGTTTTGTTTTTCCTTTTCTTTCTTTTTTTAAAAATCATTTTATTGGGGGCTCTTACAGCTCTTATCACAATCCATCCATCCATCCATTGTGTCAAGCACATTTGTACATTTGTTGGCATCATCATTCTCAAAACATTTGCTTTCTACTTGAACCCTTGGTATCAGCTTCTCATTTTCCCCTCCCTTCCTGCTCCCCCTCATGAACCCTTGATCATTTGTTGTTGTTGTTGTTTCACACACTTTTATTGTGTCATCTTCTTTTTTTTAAAATAATTTTATTAGGGGTTCATACAACTCTTTTTTTCTATTTTTAACATTTTATTAGGGGCTCATACAACTGTTATCACAATCCATACACACATCAATTGTGTAAAGCGCATTTGTACATCGTTTCTCAAAACATTTTCTCTCCATTTAAACCCCCGACATTAGGTCCTCATTTTTCCCCTCCCTCCCCGGTCCCCCCTCCCGCATGAGCACCTGATAGTTTATAAATGGGTATTTTGTCATATCTTGCCCTGTCCGATGTCTCCCCTCACCCACCTTTCGGCTGTCTGTCCCCCAGGGAGGAGGTCACACACAGTTCCATGTAATCGGTTCCCTCTTTCCTACCCCTTCTCCCCTTACCCTCCCTGTTTTGCCACTCACACCACTGGTCCTATAGGGCTCATCCATCCTGGATTCCCTGTATTTTCAGTTCCTATCTGTACCAGTGTACCTCCCCTGGTCTAGCCAGACTTGCAAGATCGAATTCAAGTCATGGTAGTGGGAGCGGGGAGGAAACATTTAGGAACTAGAAGAAAGTTGTATTTCTCATCATTGTTACATCGCACCCTGACTGGCTCATCTCCTCCCCGAGACCCCTCTGCAAGGGGATCTCCAGTGGCCTACTAATGGGCTCTGGATCTCCACTCCGCACTCCCCCCATCATTCCCTATGGTAAGATTTTTTGTTCTGATGATGCCTTACACCTGATCCCTTCGACACCTCGTGGTTGCATAGGCCTATAAATGTCCTTTGCCTCCTGGTTCTTTTCTCTTAGTTTCCTCTTGTCCCAACATCATATTCAGCCTTTATTTGGGTTTACTAATTACTTGTTGCTACATTGCCCTTGATTAAGCCCCACTAGGCATCCTACGTGCTTCTCTCCAATGATTTTAGTTCACTTGATGTTCCCTTGCCCTTGGGTTGGTTCCCCACCCTTCTTTCTTTCTCCCATCTCCCCTTCTCCTGAATCCCCCTGGAACCATCAGTCCCGTTCTTTTCATCTCTGAATTGTTTATCCTGCCTATCTTACCTAGATAGACATGCAGAGACATTGATTAGCACAAAACCAAGCAAAGCCAAAGAAACAACAAAGGAAGTCAAAACCAACAAAACAATAACAACAACTAAAATAAGCAAAAACAAAATAACAACAACAAAAAGAAAGCCACAGACAAAAATGGAAAAGCCTATAAGGAGTTCAAGGTCTGTTTGTTGGCCTTTACGAGTATTTCCTTTCAATCCTGGTAGGGTGCCACACTCTGTTTCCAAAGTCCATTTTTGGTATTCCCCGGGAATTTCATCACATTGCTCCTCTTGCTGCTCTCTTGCATGTCCTTAGTGTTTTGCCCCAATGTGATGAGGTCAGATTGGGCACAATCCCCACATGTCTCCAGTGGTGTCCTCCATAGCACTATGGTTCAGTGAAGGACATCATGTCTCATGGCGGGGCCGGCCCTATGGTCCTCCCTGTGCATTGCCTGCTCTGAGCAGGAATATCATCCTCAGGGCTTGGTGGGCCAGGATGTGTTCCCCTCACTCTCCATCCCTCTTTGTTTCTCCTGTGTACTCTAGTCAGAGAGGCCCCTCCTCCCCAAGCTGTAGCTTCAGTGCTATACTCTGAAGTGTATTCTTCTAGGGGGTTGGGGGGTTGTCTGCCTAGTTGGGATTGGGGCCAGCCCCACAGACCACTCTATTGGTTTCCTGGTACATGCCAGTATGTTGTATTCATGTCTTGGTGCATGGGGTTGAAGCCTGGTCTCTCTCCCTCCCATGTGGAGATATAAACAATACCCTCCCTTTGAGTGGTTTAGTGCCCCTGTTACCCCCTTACCCATGTCTTTTTTTTTCCCTCTTTCTTTCTCACTCCTATTTAGTTGGCAGCCATATGTATCCCTGGATTGTGTTAGGTCCCTGCGGTAGTTGCTGGACCTCACCCCAGGGATGTATGTATATAGTAGCTTTTCCCCTATACCCCATTTTGTTTTGTTTTTTTCTAAGCTTGCTTCAGTAGGCTCATGTTGTACTTGTCCTTTTGTGCTTGGCTTACTTCACTTAGCATGATTTCTTCCAGTTCTTCCTATGAACAATGTGCTTCATGCATTCATCGCTACTTTTTAGGGATGCGTAATACTCCATTGTATGTATGTACCAGTTTTTTGATCCATTTGTCTGTGGATGGAAATTTGGGTTGTTTCCAACTCCTTGCAATTGTAAACTCTGTTGCGATGAACATTGGAGCACAGATTTCCGCCCGTGGTCTGTTTCTTGCCTCTTCTGGATATATTCCCAGTAGGGGGATTGCTGGGTCTTATCAATCTCCATCTGTTTTACATATTGCCAAATTGATTTCCACAATGGCTGTATATACCTAGAGGTCCACCATCAGTGGATAAGAGTTCCTATCTCACCATAGCCTCTCCAACACTTGTTACTTTCTGATTTTTTGAATTGGGGCTGTCTTTGAGGGTGTTAGGTGGTATCTCATAGTTGTTTAAATTCGCATTTCTCTTATGGCTAATGATCGGGAACATTTTCTCATATGTCCATTCAGATTTCTCTCCTTATGAAAGATATGTTCAAGTCCTTTGCCCATCTCCTTAGTGGGCAATTTGTTTTTTTTTTAATTGTAAGCTTGCAAAGTATTGTAGATTTTAGTATTAAGGCCTTTGTATGATGTGTCATTGCTAAAGATGTTTTCCCAGTCTGTGGGCTCTATTACACTCAGTGAATTCTTTCGATGTACACAGGTGATTTATCTTCATTGTATCTCATTTGTCAATTTGTGAATCCTCTGTATTTGTATTCATCACTATTTCCAATAGTCTATGTATTTCATGTGCCAAGGTTCTCAAGTTTGTCCCAATTCCCTCATTAATGACCCTAATACTTTGGGGTTTTACTTCAAGGTCTGTGATCCACCTTGAGTTTATTCTTGTGCATGGAATGAGGTAAGGGTCTTGCTTCATTTTACTGCAAGAAGATATTCATTTTTTCCAGCACTACTTGTTGCAAAGTGCATCCACTTCCCATTTGATATTTTTTGGACCCTTAACAAAAATCAGTTGTCTGTATGCTGATGTTTTTTATTTCTGGATTTTCAGCTCTTTTTAGTATCCTTGGTTTGTAATCCAAAAGATGGAAACAGGGAAGAAAATGATAGGAACAATAACAGAGGTTACATGATAGGATTCTGAAAGACTAGTACTTGATAATTGGAAAAACTTTTTCTTTTCAATAACATGTACATTGTGCATGTAGATCTCACCCCATGGGTTATTTTAAAAAAAGAGAAAAAGGAAACTCAGTGAACTTTATCTGTGGAGAGAGTTAATAGAGATCAATATCATTAGTTAGGACAAAACCAAGGACAGACTTCAGAATAGAACAGCAAATGTTCATATGCGAGTTAAGGCTAAAACTGAAGAAAATCAAAGAAAATACAAGAAACTAAAAATGTAACCTTTAATATATACAGTATTAATTTAGAAATCATTTCAAGGATAAATTTGATGTGCTAATGACCAAAGACTCTCATTGCAAGATGACATTAAGGAAAGTATAAATGAAAAGTTTTTAAAATGTCTCACATTTTAGATATTATCAGGAGGGAACAATGGAAAAGGATATCATGCTCAGTAAAGCAGAGGATCAAAAAAAGACCTTCATTAGGATTTACATTAATTGATTACAACAATGGATACAAAGCAGCAATGACTGTGGGAATGACTGGGCAATGTTTTCTTCTGTTTCATACAAGATTTTTCTGCAAGATTGTGGATAGCTCTACTATGCCTAACAACAACAATTAGCATCTCTATGGCCATCAGTATTCCCCCACCCTTCTCTGACTCAATCATCTGATATTTCCTTTAGAAACAAATTATATGAGCTGTATCAGCAGGAAGATTCTGATCATTTATTTTGCATTAAGGTGAATTAATTTTTCCAAGCATCAGCTTAATGTGTTCCCTTCCCAAGGGTGCTAGTAATTAAAATATAGGATAGTATAGGGTAATAGTTTAACTAAATTAAGAATGTTCTTGTTTAGTCCTTCCAGAAAGGGGATATTGATTTCAGAATCTCCATATTTGTACAGACATTTTCTTTTTTTTTTCTAATCACTTTATTAGGGGCTCATACAACTCTTATCACAATCCATACATACATCAATTGT